ATGACGATGATACTTTGATGCTAGCTAAACTTATCAACGATTTGTAGTAAATGTCAACTGATGATGTAATTGCTGGGACAAGCAAAATTACATTGCAATAGTACAATGTGATATTGCATGCAATCAACTCTGTAAAATACAATGTTCTATGTACATAGAAAAGGTTAAAGTGTAATACTATGATAACATATGCCTAATTTGACCTCACCTGACCTGCCACTTGACCTCACCTGACCCGCCCATAATGTCACTGAACATAGAAGTTACCACCAATTAGTAGAACTACACGAATTTTACTCATCCAACAAAATTCAGCTTCACATGGACAGCATACGGCTGAGTGATAGGTGGTAGTAGTAATTTGGGGGAAGGAGGAGTTAAACGTTCTTTTTCTTGTTAACGCTCATACAGCTTGTCGCTTTGCTGCATTATTGAAATTTAATTAAATTATGTTAAGAATAATTATATTTCTATAATATAACTGAGCAATTTCACATGAAAAAATCAAATCTATAAATCGGTTTTCATTTGAAAGATTGATCACTTTTACTTGAAAACTTTTATTGATTTAAGAAACAAGCATAAAAAACGTGAGTTTTTGTATTTATGTGATATAATTTTTGGCTTTTTTTTTAAATTTTGAAATTGTAGAAACTCTCGACATCCTGGCTATCGCTATATTATCGCATTTATCATATCGTAATTGTGAACCTAGTACAAGCATACAAGGATTATTTATATCGTCTATAGTATCAACTATGTCTCTCGCTACGAAAAAACGTTTTGTGATGAAACAAGCCGAAAGTGAATTGTTTTTGCCGAAAGAGAATGAAATCATCGCACGTGTTTTGACATCTCCAGGAAGAAATTTGCACGAGGTTAGACAAAATCATTTATTCTTCAGTTAGTAAGTATAAAAAAAGCATTCCTACAACACCATTGTTGAGGAAAATTTTCGATTTTTTTCTATACTTAACTATTTCTGAACTGCATAATTTATTACTTTAGATATATATGATCAGCATATACTCAAACTGATTCTGGTTTGATGCAGAATTTGCTTAAATTTTTATTCAAAACTGATATAAGAACTTACAGTTTCATTACTCCATGTCGCTAATGTACATTTAGTCCTTGAATAGTTTGCAATGGGTGTAATAAGTCAGCAGTACTCATTTCAACTTTTAAATTTGCAGATGTGATCTATTTTTCCACTTTCATTACATAGAAGCGTTCATTTTATTTAATTGGATTGGTGTATTTTTCAGGTGGATGATGAAAATGGCGAGAAATATTTAGTAAGCATGCCAAGGAAATTTAGGGAGACAATTTATGTCAAACGAGGTAGTTTTATTTTTGTTGTGCCGATAAAAGAAGGCATCAAAGTGAAGGCAGAAATTACGCAGATTTTGGATAAAGAAAATGTTTTATACCTAAGGGAGCAGAAAATGTGGCCCAAAAGGTTTGTACTTTGTTTTATATATGTTTTTATTTAACGAAGTTTTACCATTTTTACTATTTAGTTTTGTTTATTCACTTTTACAATGACATTTACATATTTACGCATTGTAACATATGTTGTATGACTGTTTGATTGTCTATTAGAAATACATCTAAAAAAGAAGTAATGCTGTAAAAAAAGCATAAATATGTATAAAAATAGGATCTTAAGTATGATGGACAGTTCAAGCAAAAAACAAACAAGTCTTGTTTTACACTGCAGAAAAGAAGTCGCATTTAATGTCTATGGTTTCAAACAATTGTTTTTAGATTCGAGTCATATGCAGAAAGTATAACTCGTGAAGCAAAGAGAGGTATTATTGCTGGTAGTGTGAAAAGGCATGACGTTATCGATGAAGATATGTTACCACCCAGTGATACGAATGATGACAGTGAGTGTGACACGAGTGATGAGGATAATGAAAAGAAGGATGAAGAAAGCTCGATGGGCGATTTCTCCGATTTAACAGGTTCTCTTTAAAGTCATCTATGTTTGAAGTATTACATGTCCGAAAGATTCATTTGTTACAATTCTTATGTAAAGCTAAATTAATTAAACCTTGAAAATTCCAATGCTGTTTGAAAGGAGGACTACGAAAAAGCAAGAGTGTATTGCAGATTATTCAAAGGTAGAATATAGAATTGCTGGTCAGTATCCATTTTGCGGTTTAACTTTTGGTCTATCATACTGTCACAAGAGTTATTGTAAAACTTTTTAAATGGTTACTCAATATATAAATCATTTGAAATCACTTTTTGAACACTGATCTCTGGATACCCTTCAGATATTTATGTCAAGTTTTTTACATGGTTTCTGCTCTTTTTGATTTTAATTTGTTATATTCATTCTTAACCTTTTTAAAAATACTTTTTTAGAAAGTGAAGAACTGGACGAAGATGATGAGACGGAAAATAGTGATGAAGAATCACAAAATGATGGTCTTGCTTTCAAAATATATAATCCAAATCGATTAAGGCGATTATAATTTTTGCTTTACTTTTCTCTAATTTTAATTTCGATATTTCAAATGTTTTTGCTATCGTTCTTACTGTATGAATTTTAATATGCCTAAACAAGGAAATCCTTATTATAAGGATCTCTTTCCTTAGTAATCTTTCCTAATGCAGCTATATAATAGTTTTTGGAGATCATTTTCTGTTTCGAATTGTTTATAAAATTCTCGTTTTGTTTGTTTATTGCTTTTAATTAATCTCATTCTGTTGGCACTTTGTTTTTTCTGATCTTACATTTCACTGATATATTTTTTTTTTTTTTGACAAAAATTCAATTAAATTTATTCGGATGCATCGCTTCACAAAGGAGATAGTTACAATTACAATTGAATTAGAAGTCTAATTTTGCTTCGAGATTTCGGTTACTTCATTGTTGAGCAGTGTTGAAGTTCTCAGTTCTGCTTTTACACAGCGGTGCAAGTATTTACAAAATATATGTGTTGATCTATATATTGAAGTATGGATTAATTCTTTCTATCACTAAACTTGCGTGTGGAACATCATTCAAGCATTTTAGCAGTAGTCAAGGAATCAAACAGATTTTGCTGACACTGACTTCTTCAAAAATTGCTTTGAAAATATAACAGACAAACTTTGATATGCATCACAAACTTAGTTTGAAACTTTGTGAGACTTCCAGGCGGAATTTCTTGGAAATTGTTTTAATTTGAAAATATCCTCATTTATACCATATGAAGTGTATTTTTATAGAAACATTAGGAATCCTTGTTGTTGATGTTTATCTTTTCTGTATATTTAATTCATACACAGGTTTCGGATTAACGAATTGTTTTAATTTAAAGTGAAGTCAAATCATGTCATACCATCATTTACGTACTTGTGCAAGGATCCCTTATATTCCATTTTGCAAAAATTTAAAAATAGGGTGAAAATTTCAAAAGGTTGCGAAAACTTTGTTAATAATTATAAGAAATTAATAAGTCACAAAAAGATTCAGAGACTGCTATTTTAAGTCATTTTTCTTCCATTTTTCTTCACATTCATCCTCAAATCTCTTTTCTCATGGGAAAAATTCCTAACATTTCAGTAAACAGAAGTGCAAAAGTATTAACAAAACCTTTTTAAGCTATCTCATTTATGCTTTTTCTTTTTTTTTATTTTATCGTTTAAAGTTTGAAAAAAGGTAACTGCTTAAATAAATCACAAAACTTATCTATTTTGTTGTCGAAAAAACTCTCTTCATGCTGAACAATTTTGTTTATAAGTTTGGTTGAATAAATTCAAATTGATTTTAGAAAATTTAATCGCACTATTTGAATGTAAATTTCCACTTGCTAAACTTTTGCCACATTATTATTGCTCTTTTTTTTTTTTGGCTTCAAAGGAAACAAAAAACTCTTTAGCAGTTATCCTATACAAAATAATTTAAATAGTATCCATATAAAAGCATCAATTTCCTATTTTACTATTCCTAACTTTCATGCATATAAGACTGCTTAAATGAGTCTTTGTTATTTGGTCATTTCCTTCTCTCATCCCAATGAAATCATTCCACATATTCAAAGAAATGAAAAAGAAATTACCCAATGATTTATCAGTATGTTCCAATTTTAAATTCATATTTCATTTCAGCATGTTTTAATGCAACAATTTTATCGTGAAACTTAGGGTTGTCTAATACTCTTAGCTTAGCTTAGAATTAAATTGGACTTTCGTATGCTCAGGTATCTTCTTTAATTGTCATAGTTGTGCTATAGCCGAATGCGTTGATTGAAAGGTCGCTAGCAATTACAGCGCACAGGTATTAGTCTATGGTAACAATATACTGATATGTTTGTAAAGTTATCTACGAATAGGATGAAAAAAAACTGATGAGGATCTTAAAGGATTTAAGTGAATTGAATTAAATAAGTGAGTGAGAGTAGCCGAACTACAACTTGCTATCAGAAAACTGACCGTAACAAAGGATTTAAGTCGATATGTAGTGAGCATAATTACAACAAGCACATGATTAAATTGAGTAAAGTTATCAGATGATCTTTGCTCTTTATATAGTAGGAGATTGTCAGTTTCTCAAAGAATAATTGTTGGATTAGAAAACCTTTACAATATTTCGACACTGTAAGCAAATTTGGTTTGAAGCAAAGGAGTAATTTTTAACGTATTAAACATACCCTTTGTTATCAGATGAAAATGTCTAAGTACGTAGATACAATGGGAAGATGAGATTGTTTACATGATACGATTTGAAACAGTTCTGCATTCTTTTAAAGAATTTTCAATTAATTTTAGTATTATGAATTAATACAGTTCTATTTGTTACATTTTGAAAGCTATTTGAGTGTATTATTTCGAGTTTCGCCACATAATTAACGATTTTTATTAAACATTTGGCAGTGAATGAATGATGAGAATAATGATGGGTGGGATAACTGTAATGATGGGTGGGATGACTGTAATGATGGGTGGGATAACTGTAATGATGGGTGGGATAACTGTAATGATGGGTGGGATAACTGTAATGAATGGTGGGTGGGATAACTGTAATGGTGGGTGGGATAACTGTAATGATGGGTGGGATAACTGTAATGGTGGGTGGGATAACTGTAATGATGGGTGGGATAACTGTAATGATTGGTGGGATAACTGTAATGGTGGGTGGGAAAACTGTAATGGTGGGTGGGATAACTGTAATGATGGGTGGGATAACTGTAATGGTGGGTGGGATAACTGTAATGGTGGGTGGGATAACTGTAATGATGGGTGGGATAACTGTAATGATTGGTGGGATAACTGTAATGGTGGGTGGGATAACTGTAATGATGGGTGGGATAACTGTAATGGTGGGTGGGATAACTGTAATGGTGGGTGGGATAACTGTAATGATGGGTGGGATAACTGTAATGATTGGTGGGATAACTGTAATGGTGGGTGGGATAACTGTAATGATGGGTGGGATAACTGTAATGGTGGGTGGGATAACTGTAATGGAGGGTGGGATAACTGTAATGATGGGTGGGATAACTGTAATGGTGGGTGGGATAACTGTAATGATGGGTGGGATAACTGTAATGATTGGTGGGATAACTGTAATGGTGGGTGGGAAAACTGTAATGGTGGGTGGGATAACTGTAATGATGGGTGGGATAACTGTAATGGTGGGTGGGATAACTGTAATGGTGGGTGGGATAACTGTAATGATTGGTGGGATAACTGTAATGATTGGTGGGATAACTGTAATGATGGGTGGGATAACTGTAATGATTGGTGGGATAACTGTAATGATGGGTGGGATAACTGTAATGGTGGGTGGGATAACTGTAATGATGGGTGGGATAACTGTAATGATGGGTGGGATAACTGTAATGGTGGGTGGGATAACTGTAATGATGGGTGGGATAACTGTAATGATGGGTGGGATAACTGTAATGATGGGTGGGATAACTGTAATGATGGGTGGGATAACTGTAATGATGGGTGGGATAACTGTAATGGTGGGTGGGATAACTGTAATGATGGGTGGGATAACTGTAATGATGGGTGGGATAACTGTAATGGTGGGTGGGATAACTGTAATGATGGGTGGGATAACTGTAATGATGGGTGGGATAACTGTAATGGTGGGTGGGATAACTGTAATGATGGGTGGGATAACTGTAATGATGGGTGGGATAATCTTATTTAAATTACATGAAATTAAAGACAACATAGCAGTATGATATCAAGTTTTTGGTTTTTTGTCTTTTTTTGAAATAAAAATTAGAGTTTCAGGATTGTTTCGCTATTCAACTTAATGATTAATTCATTCCATCTTTTTTAATGTAAACTTTACATTTATAAAGGAATGTAATTTTTTCTTTATTTTTTTGTGATTTCAATTTTTTGCTTAAAATTTTGCAATCAATTTCAATTCAAATCAACCATTTTTTTTTGTCATATTAATCAGTGCTGTGATATTATATTGTCACTTATATGTTCTACACCTATCCTAATGAATAGGTGTAGAACATATGTGATATATCTCTTTCACAGATGAATTAAGAATGATAAAAATAAGTAAATTCGAAAGTAGCTGATGGGAATGCAATCATTTGTTAAATTAGTGAATCCAAATGATATATAATTCAAGTAATATTCCAATTATAAGAATGCTATTATTTTATCAATCATTCTTTCTATTGTAAATTTATATTTGTCAATAAATCATTCAAAAATTTTTTTGAAATCTAAAATATATTAGAAATAAAAAAAAATGCTCCGATAGCTGAAATTTCTTTAATTGGACGATATTTTATAAAATGTTTGTTTTACTTTTTCGTTCTTTCATTCCATATAACTAATTATCTTTTTTAGCTGCAAATTAATTTTTATTTTCTCATTGGCACATTTATTTTATGCATAGCACATTTGCCGTATTTAAGTTTTATTACGGTTATTTGAGTAAATGACGAAAACTTTTTCATTTAACCAAATTCAATGATTTGTATTGAACTAAATGACTGATTGAGTTGAGACTAAAAATCATCAGACTTAATGAATTATTGTTAGAGATTTGAATAAATTTCAATGGACAGAATTTCGAAGCTTTTCCAGTTCATAACAGCAGTGTCATTATTGTAAATTGTGATGTGTCGAAATAATAAATAAAAGGTATCAAAAAATTTTTCTTTAAATATTTAATTTTAGTTATCAACAGATAACTTCCCACTAAATAAATAAAATTATTTAAATACGATCTAACAGGTCTGTTTATGGGGATGCTAATAAGTCAAACTTGAAAAAAAAAAAAAAATAAAAAATCGAATGAAATATTAATACTGATATAATGAGAGGAATGAGTCACTATCGTTTCATCTTTCTAATCTTTGATAAGCTAATTAACAAAATTTAAAATCTGGTAAACAAAACAAGTCAATTTTAAATGAAGAAGTTAACATTTCATGCATTATACTACTGTTTACGTTTAATTAAAATGAAATCTTTGATTGTGAAAGCAAAGATCTGTTGTAAATTGACCAATAATGAAAACGGAAAAAAAAAGCAAAGAAATTTAATATTCAAAATTATATTCATTTGGAAAATGTTACTTTCAGCAAGCTTAAGAACTTTTCTAAAAAAAAAATGTATTAACATTTCAAAAGGATTTTTTGTTTGTGGATAATACCAAACCACTAGGCTCATTTTTGCTATGGCTAGGACAATGCATGGCTAATGACACATCGACACTCGAAATATTGGCCAAATTCTAATCTGCCTAGTTATTTGTTTCTTTTTTGCTCATTTTCCATTCTTTTCTTCTTTCTTTCTTCCTTTTTCGTTTTCTCATTTTTTTACGCTTCTATTTACGCAACAATTTTTTTTCTCTTTTTTTGGTTAATTTATTAAAAAATCAACAGTTGGTCTAATTTTTTTCGATTTCAATATGATGAATTTTAAATAATTTTAATTGCCACAATTTTAATTTTAACTTTATTGAAAGTTTAAACTTCCATTTGCTTATATTTCTAACCTTACTTATTATACTTGCCATTTTATTTTTCAATTAATGAATAATTTTTATTTTTCTTTCATAATCTTCTAGTATAATTTTTAGTAAGATTAAATTACAGAATTGAATTTCAAACTTTTTTTTGTCATTTCTTTTTCTATTTTTCTAAATTACAATTATTTTGTGAAATAAAAATAGCCTAGTTAATTATACGGATTTTATGGCACACAAGGGACAGCTAAACATTTTTTGGAATCTAAAAATTCACTACTTTAAAACTATGCCACAATTTTCATCATTTAGCTTTATAAATTTTCGTTACGTGCGTTACTTCTCCAAATAATTTATAATCCAAGTAATAAAATGTAATTACCTTTTTTTTTTTTTTTCAAATATACATTCTTTTCTTGTTTTGTTTGTTTTGCTTAATGCATTGTTCCAAAATGAAATAACAATGAACAATTCGTGTATTTTAAAAACGACTAAAATATAAAAATGCAGGTAAGTTCAAAGTATTTGCTACCTGGTTGTATTTATTATTCGCATAGCAAGCTTGCATTATGATAAGCATAAATTTTAAATAGAAAGGAAGTAATTTAATATTTACTTCTTGCAAAAATGAAAAAAAATTACCCATTTTTTTGTAAGATAATAAAAAATTAGAAATAATTTATATTATTAATTTAAGCATCAATCGGGTCAACAAAATTCATTTCTTAAAAAATTTTTTAAATTAAATTGAAACATTAAATAGCTAGCATTTGTAATGAAATAATCCATGAAATATTCATAAAAATATCTGTAATATTGAATAAATTGACAAAAGTTGTTTATTCAACTTTTTTTTTTTCTATTTTTCATCATTTTCTACTGCTTATTTATTATTTTTTTAAGAATTTATGGTAAATTCTGAAAGAATGAATTTTATGGTAAATTCTGAAAGAATTAATTCTATAAAATAGTTTTTATTTTCTTTTATTCTATCAGATGAAACATGAAATATAAGGAAATTTTTGTGTTTTAAGTGCTTCAAACGATAGAGCATTTTATTAAATTTGCAAAGTTTACTGCAATTGATCGCAATATTATTCATTGCTATATGCATTGATTTCTCGTCGATAACAAATTTAATATTATCCTCAGAAATTAAAAAAAAAAAACAAAGAAATACCAAAATTTGTAAAATAATTCGCGTAATTCCAGTATTAATAATCTTTTAGATTTGTTTATCATTTTTATTTAAAGTTATTATATCAAATATATTAAAAATGTTTACTATCATTTTGATATTTCATTAATAAATTTTATCATTTTTGAAATAAATGAGAAAAAGATGATATTTCTGTGAATTATTGGACAAAATTTGATTTTTTTTTTTTGTTCATAACTTTTATTGCTTGTTTGAAATAAATACTTACCTACATATTTGACTCTTTCATAGGCAAAAAACAAGGAAATTGTGTTGCTTATTTTATTTTAAGTCTTTATAAAACTATTTAAATTTCGTTTTTTTATTAAATTAGCTTTTCTACTCAAAGAATCAAAAAAAAAAAAACGAATAAATAAAAATAAAAAAAGCAACAAAAATGTTTTTTAAAATTTCTTTTCAAAAAAAAAGGAAAAAGGAAGAAATAAGCCATAAATACTAATAAATATGCAAATCAAACTAACTCGTAACTTTATTTTATGATGAACATTGTCCTTTTTTTTTTCTATGAATTAATGAGCATACGGGATGCATCGAATTGATAAGAGCAATTATAAAATTATTTTCAAAATTGAATTTAAATAAGAAAAATATCTAGCTTGTCAACAAATATCAAATTAATCAAATTTAAAATTAAATTAAATTCTAGATGCTGATAAAATTTCGCTTTTAATTTCAAAATTACGATCATTTCTTCATGATATGGCATTTTTCTTTGACATATTTCAATATTGCTACGATTATTATGCTAATTGTTCATTCTGAGCATTCAATTCACTAATGATTGTTAGTGAAGATGAATTAAATTCAAATTACAAACAGGAAAAATGTAAATACAATTTAGAAAAACATTGTAAAATTAATGAAATATTCGTTACGATAATTTCTAAAATTATTTCTCCTTTTTTTTTCATTAAAATTAGAAGTGAAATCAAATATACTAGTATTGAAATTCTCCTTATAAAGTACTAAATTTTCATATGCATTTAAAAAAAAAATTTTTGTTTTAAGAAAATAAAATATCTATCTATTGAAGAAGAAACTTTTAACTTCATCAATTTATCAAACAATCTCTCAATTAGCAATTTGTAAAATCTCTAAAGAATGCTATATTAATGAATTTACTAGTGATAAATGATAACATGTGAAATATACTACTAATTCATTCTCATATTCTTATCATTTCGACTTTTTTTTTGTGTTTGTATTAAAAACAAAAAACTAAATGCATTTGTTAAAATAAGAAGGAATAATATTTTTTTTTTACGTACAAAGTTTTTTTTTTTTTTTTTGCTTTTCTTCGAATATAAATTTTTCTTGAATTTTCATTAATGCAAATGAAAATTTAATTATTTGTGAAAAAATTTTTGTTATCAGCAGATTTGATTTCTAACTTTGATTACAGAAAAAGAGAAAATTAAAATTATGCGATGAATTGATAGTTCATTAAAAAATATTTAATGCTTAAATTATCATTTTTTTTTCTTTTATTTCCTTTTCCAATTCGTTTTTTTTTTTTTTTTTTTGCATTTTTATTTCACTCAAAGCAATAAGATATATTAATAGTAATAGCATAGACATAGGCCTTAGGCTCATTAATTTTCAATTTTCCATCTTCTTTCCCCTCCAAAAAAAAAAAACTATGACAATTTGATGAAAAAAAAAAAAAATATAGCGGTCAAATTTTGAGAGCTTTTTCAAAAAAAAAAAAAAAAAAATGAAATTCTCAATTTATTAGCTTTTTTATTGCTGAAAGCTGGCAAGTGCAATAAAATCAAAATTATCAATTTGATTAAATTTTCACTGCAACTGGTAATATTTTATAAAATTAGATTTAAAAATATTGTATTGGCATCCTTCTTTCTTCTAGTTTCTATTAGAAAATAAAATTTTCTTTGTTAATTTCTATAAGATATAATATAAATTTGAGCAATTTATAGAAAAAAAAATTTTGCACAAAATTTAAGAAAATAAAATTTTCGGCTGAGAAATCTTTTTTTAAGAAAGTCAATAATATACCATCA